TTCTGCAATCACGTGATTGTATTTTTTTTTTTACAAAGGTTTTGCTGAAAACCAGACTTGCTCATAGTGAACCATTGGTTTACTTAATGACCACTATGGTTGCTTTATGACTGCCATCAAAAGAAAGGTCATAGAATTGGCTTGGTTACATGAGTGATCTGATTTACGGCTGTCACAAGTTATAACCACGAAGGACAGGTTCCATTTACCATCATAACTTGAGGAATATCGTTGTTGGATTAAATCAGCTTCCCAGACTCAATAGTGCCTACGTTAGGGCTGCACAGGCCTATGGAAGCCCATTTAGGACAAACTGTGATACGGCAGAAGCTTCAACGCCCTTGGTTTCAAAATACTATCTAGCGAAAGTTAATGGCAGGTTTGTTCTTAGATTGCCTTGAGGTTGCTGCCTCATAAATTGTGCATGGCTGATCCCTTGAGACTTGGGGAATAACAATTCTACAAGCTCTGTGGTTTGAGGACCTTTAATATTTAGAACCTACACGAAGGATTCCATGCCTTCCAAAAGGCATCTGGACTTTCTTGGAGCTTTTTTGTTTGAAAATGTTTCACTTCTCATCCAAGAAGCTTCATCAGTTCTAAGTTACTGGGTGCTCCTGATTAAGATTGAGAAATGAAACAGAGGCTACGTTGGAAAAAGTATTGTAGAGAGTAAGAAAGATGAGCTTGATGGAAGCTGGGTTGCCATGGCCACAAAGGGCAAAACACTTTTTAAAGTCCAGAAAGTCCAGTTGATATTTGGAAACAGATCAACTCCCTCATTCACTGAATTATAAGAGGGAGGAAATGGTAATTGGCACAATCAAACTTGAAATATTATGTTGTGGTAGACTGTCTCACTTAAAGTATTTTTAGTTTTCCTGTAGAGTTGATTTCTTGATCTGGTCTACCCAATGGAATTGACAGACAGACATTCAGATGCCAGGAGTGGCTATACTTAACAATGATCAGAATTATGCAGGCAATAGTTTGTCTGCATAGGACACGGTGGCTCAGTGGCTAAGACGCTGAGCTTGTCGATCAGAAAGGTCGGCAGTTCGGCGGTTTGAATTCCTAGCGCCACGTAACGGAGTGAGCTCCCGTTACTTGTCCCAGCTTCTGCCAACCTAGCAGTTCAAAAGCACATAAAAGTAGAAAAAGTAGAAAAAATAGGAACTATCTTTGGTGGGAAGGTAACAGCATTCTGTGCGCCTTTGGCATTTAGTCATGCCGGCCACATGACCATGGAGACTTCTTCGGACAGCGCTGGTTCTTCGTTTTTGAAACGGAGATGAGCACCGCCCCCTAGAGTCGGGAACAACTAGCACATATGTGCGAAGTTTACGTTTACCATTAGTTTACCCAGGGAGCCTCTCTAGAAGCAAAAGTTGCATTTCAACGAAGCAAAGTAGAAAGAGTATTGGTGTTGGAGAAGTCTTCTGAAAATGCAAGAAAATGGATCATCAAACAAATCAAACCAGAGTTCTGGTTAGAGGCACAAAATGACCAAGCTCAAATGACAAATTATAAACAACCAAGCTCAAATTATCCCACTTTGGATACATTATGTGAAGGCCCGGCTCTCTAGAGAAGTAGAATAAAACAGCAGAGTTGGAAGGGACCTTGGAAGTCTTCTAGTCCAATGTCCTGCTTAGACAGGAAAACTTACACCACTTCAGACAAATGGTTATCCAGCATCTTCTTAAAAACTTCCAGTGTTGGAGTATTCAAAACTTCTGGAGGCAAGCTGTTCCACTGATTAATTGTTTTATCTGTCAGGAAATTTCTCCTTAGTTCTAAATTGCTTCTCCCCTTGATTAGTTTCCACCCGTTGCTTCTTGTCCTGCCTTCAGATGCTTTGGAGAATAGCTTCATTTCCTTTAATGATGGAAAAGGTGGAAAGAGAGAGAAAAGGATGACCATTATCAAGTAGCAGTAGGGAGATCATTGGAAGATTTGAAGGACCAGTTGAGGGACAGATCATCATGGAGAAAAGTGATGTAGTTGTTAGGAAGTGGCACTGACATTGATGACACATAGTCAATCTATCCATCTTAAATAAGATAATAAACAGGAGATCACGAAGCAATGAAGAATCTTCATGTATGTGATGAACAGCTTTTTACTCATTAATTCTGTCTGTAGGAAATCAGCAATGAATCTCATCAGGACCAAGGCACCTCTAGCTCAGTTAATCAATTATTAGCCCTTGTAACTAGCAGCTTTAATTAAAGGGCTAATTAGATATCAAAAAGGACCTCAGCACCCTTTTTACCAGCTCTGTAGTTGTATCTTTAATGTCAGGGTTGTTGGGAGAAGTGAGGATTCCCTTCTATATTTTTCCATGCCCATTCTCATTCTATTTCACATTGGCTTTTGAAATGAATTTTGTGAAATATTTATTTTGGTATGAGAACATGTAGTGGTATGTGATTCTGAAGAAGCTCCTTGGATGAGAAGAAAAACATTTTCAAAGGCACCCCCCCCCCAAAAAAAGAAAGTCCAGTTGCCTTTTGGGGGGAAAAACACCTTTGGGACAACCATTATATGGATGACTGAGAATCTTTATACATACTCAATATATAGGAGGTTGCAGGAACTGAGTATGTCTAGTTTAATGAAAAGAAGGACTAGGGGAGACATGATAGCAGTGTTCCAATATCACAGGGGCTGCCACAAAGAAGAGGGAATCAAACTATTCTCCAAAGCACCTGAGGGTAGAACAAGAAGCAATGGGTGGAAACTAATCCAGGAAAGAAACAACTTAGAACTGAGGAGAAATTTCCTTACAGAACAACTTGCCTCCAGAAATTGTGAATGCTCCAACACTGGAAGTTTTTAAGAAGAAATTGGGCAATCATTTGTCTGAAATAGTGTTTCCTGCTTAAGCAGGGGGTTCGACTAGAAGACCTCCAAGGTCCCTTCCAATTCTGTTATTCTATTCTATTCTATTCTATTCTATACTATTCTATATATCTCACCAGGTTTCCTCAACTGGCTATTGAGGAAAAGAAAGATAATTGTGTTTAGCAAAATCCCACTTGAGGGTGTTTGGGCAGGACAAAAAATGAGGGGATGCATGAGGTCCACTTAAGATTTTGGTTTCCTGACAAGAAAGATGATAGGAGTGAAGAAGGCTGGCTTGATCCAAATCCACCACCTCAATGTGCCACTTAGAATCTCCAGAAACCTATCGGAAGTTGCAGCTTTCAGGAAGAGAACAGTCCGTGCTAGTTTTATTGAATTAAATGTCTCAGGCACTGGATCCTGTCAACAAGAACAAAACAACAGATTAAGAAATTTCATTTAGAAGAAGTCTGTTGCATCTCAGAATTTGTGTTTTTGATGCCCTCCAACCTGCACCAGCGCCTATGTTTTTGTAAAATCATCTGGCAAAAATATAACCAAATGATTCATAGTTGAAGGGAAGAGGGGAAATCTAAACAAAAAAGGCCTCCAGTAACCTTTTCTCTCTCTCTCTCTCTCTCTTTATCTCTCTCTCTCTCTCTCTCTCTAGGAGAATCTGATGGGAAAGGAGTCACTCGATCCAGGAGCACAAACAGCTTCTTGTCCCAAAGTGGCCGGTGCAGGATGATCCCAAAGGAATCACGTAGACACACCATTTCTGGTGCCGTGGAATATGAAATGGTAGGAGGATCCAGAGAATGATTCCATGGGGCTAACTAAAAGTTTAGTTTCCTCTCCTTTGCCTTTTCCTCCCCTTCTTCCTCTCCTCTTCCTTCCCTTCCTTTCTTACTCTCCTCTTTTCTCCTTTTCCTCCCCTTCCCTTCTTCCTCTCCTCTTCCTTCCCCTCCTTTCTTCTTCTTCTCTCCTTTTCCTTCCCCTTTTCCTCTCATCGCCTTTTCTTTTTCCTTTTCCATCCCTTCTTCTCCTCTCCTCTCCTTTTCCTTCCATTCCCTTCTTTCTCTCCTCTCCTCTATTTTATTTTATTTGGAGTTTTTTTTCCTCTTCCTTTCCCTTCTCTTCTTCCCCTCCTTTTCCTTTTCATTCCCTTCCCTTCTCCCTCTCCTTTCCTCTCCTCTTTCCCCTTAAGAAATACAAATTACTTTTATGCATTGCACAACAAAATCATACACACTCAGATACACCTGTATGCTCTGCTCTCTTAAAGGTTTCTAAGTTAATACTTCAACAAGCCACAAGGACAGGGAAATAGAAATTGTGTAATTTGGGCTGATCTGAAGTGCAGTCCTCTTGCATTGCCACCTTTCCCCAAACCTTTCTCCATCCTGTTCTCGCGAGCCATTGTCCCCGTCCCACTTGGGTTTGAAAAAAAATACACGGGATAAAATGCTCTGAATAAATCCACTCCATCAGCGCCTGCTGATTCAGTATCAGAAGTCTGGTGGCAAAGTTTTTAGACATTCAAAGAAGTTAATCCTCACCCTGCTGCTCACCTCTTCCATTTCCGAGCTCACATGGGCAGCTGAAAAGGCTGGGCTTAGAGGTCCTATTATCTGGGGCAACTGAAGCTTGAAGTCTAAGCTGGCCTGCTTTGAGAACTGCTGAGTTCAGCGGAGTGGGGCCAAAACCCGAATTTTCCAGACATTGAGTATATACACCCTCTACCGGGGCAGGGGAAGGGTCACGGGGTGGGAAAGGAACACAGAATAAAGCAGAGGGTTAGGAGAAAAGGGGAAAAAAAGAACAGGCAGCACAAAGCAATGGAGAAGAAGACCGCAGATGGAGAAGCCAGTGGGAAAAGCAGAGCAGAGGGGGCAAAAGCTAGAGAGGGAGCCACCAGGAGTAGGGCGTGAAAGTCTGGCTACAGATGAAGAGGCGGCAGGGGTTGGTTTTGGGGCCGCTAAAGAAGGAAAGGGATAGACAGATGGAAGGAAAAAGGGGGGTTAGAGGGGGAGAAAGTCAAGGGGAGGCTAGGAAGGGGTGGTGGTTTAAAAGTGGGCACGGAAGTTATCTGTTGAAGGAAGGAGGGCTAGCAGGATTTAAGAAGGAGAAGGGTGATGGTTGAGTGGTCCGAAGGAGCTGACGGGTGGGTTGCAGGAGAAACAGGGGGAGGAGGAGGAGTTGTCCATGTGGGTTTTACACCCCTGAGTAGTGTGATGGTTGCAGCTGGAAATCTAAGCAGACCAAAGACGTGGTTTACAGAATCCTAGAATTGGGAGGGACCTCAGAAATGATTTAGCCCAACATTCCAGCTCAGCGGAAGGTCTACCAGAATGTCTGTGACAGCTGACCAGCCAGCCAGCTGAAAGACCTTCAAGCTCACCACTCCATAGGTCAGCCAGTTGCTTTGGCTGGCAGCTGGCACAGTCAGGATCTTCCAGTTTGAAGTCCAAAGCTGAAGGAAAGCAAAGTAAGGGTTCTCCGCGTTTCTCCTGCCTGCCACCCCGGGGCCAGCATGGCAGTTCAAGGAGGCTACACCATCCTCATCATCCCGCTGGGAACGGCCCTCAGCAATCTCCATGCCTTGCGCTTCTTTCTCTGGGTAAGCTTAGGGATTCATGCACTCGTCCGTCCGGCATGCGCCTTAAACAATATTTATTTGCTCTGGAGTTCTGGAACGACAGGTACGCAGCAGGTGAAATCCTGCACATGAGGAGGACATTGCTTTTTCTCCATAGAAGTCCTTAAGTGCTGGAAGCGTCTTCATTGATATTGTGCTCATGCTTAGCAATCACCAAGTTCTGTCTTGGAAGCTTCCTCGAGAGTTGTATTTTCTCAATCTTCTGGAGAGAGGCTGAGCTGGTTCCTCTTGGTATAGATTTGTGTTTGTGTGTGCATTTGTCTCTGTGTGTTCATGCTCATGTAGACTTAATTATTAGTTTCTTCAGTACTGCTAACATTGCCAACAATTGTTTAGTTTGGTAATTATGGTTCTCCAGTGTTTATTGTGGATGTTGATGCCATTGCAAGCTACTCTCAAAGCTGATTTTGATAGAATTCCATGTGCAGTTTTACCACGCTGTAGAATTTTACTTTAAAAGTAAAAATAAAATAAAATACCGGAGGTTCAAATTAGCTGTTCAACCAACTGAGCTTCTTCCAAAGAGCCAAAACCCTGCGAATCTGCTTCTGGGTATGAAGAGGAGAAACATTGGGGTTTTTTTTGTTGTTGTCATGGGTAGACAGAATGAGGTTATGAGGTCGAGCCTCTTCTGTAACTATAATACAATAGCAGAGGTGGAAGGGACTTTGGAGGTCTTCTAGTCCAACCCCCTGCCTAGGCAGGAAACCCTATACCGTTTCAGACAAATGGCTATCCAACGTCTTCATGAAGACCTCCAGTGTTGGGGCATTCACAACTTCTGGAGGCAAGCTGTTCCACTGATTGATTGTTCTGTTAGGAAATGTCTCCTTAGTTCTAAGTTGCTTCGCTCCTTGGTTAGTTTCCACCCATTGTTTCTTGTTCTACACTCAGGTGCCTTGAAGAATAGTTTGACTCCCTCTTCTTTGAGGCAACTCCTGAGATATTGGAAGACTGCTATCATGTCTCCCCTAATCCTTCTTTTTATTAAACTAGACATACCCAGTTCCTGCAACCGTTCCTCATATGTTTTAGTCTCCAGTCCCCTAATCATCTTTGTTGCTCTTCTCTGCCCTCTTTCTAGAGTCTCCACATCAGATTGGAGCTTATCCAAGAAAGATCCATTCTAGAATTAAAGAGAAATTTCCTGTCAGTGAGGACAATTAATTAGTGGAATGGCTTGCCTCCAGAAGTTGTGGGTGCTTCAACCCTGGAGGTTTTCAAGAAGAGATTGGACAGCATTTGTCCAGAGTGGTATAGGGTCTCCTGCTTAAGCTGGGGGTTGGATTAGAAAACCTCCAAGGTTCCTTCCAACTCTGTTATTGTGGCTATCAGCCCCTTTTGTGTCTCAGATTATGTCCACCGCCCCCTTGGTGCTTTCAGTCCTTGGAACTGTGGGCTGAGCATTAACTCTTCTGAATTCAAATCCATCTGCTCCTAAATTATGGATCTTGGGGGAGATGACTTAATACTGTAGGTCTCTTTTCAGAGGATCTTGTGTCTAGTTAAAAGTGCTCAGGGGTCATTGTAAAAAAATTCTCCTGGGAGTCAAAAAAGCAGCAAGCTGCACTAATTAGTTTCTCTTTCTTTTCCTTCCTTTCTCCCTCCCTACTTCTTTTCCTTTCTTTCTTTCTCTTTCTTTTCCTTCCTT